CTGTCAGTGTTAATGGCTTCAACTCTCCAATTAAAAGACACAGACTGGCAGACTGGATCATAAAACAGAATCCACCAGTCTTCTGCATTTAGGAAACTCATCTAATCCCAAAATACATTCATGGACTAAAAATCAGAGGATGGAAAACAACATTTCATGCCCTGGGACCCCAAAGATGAGCAGGGGCAGCAATTTTACTCTCAGATAATGCAAACCTCAAGCTAAAACTGATCAGAAGAGACAAAGAAGGTCACTATGTACTAGTTAAGGGAACAATCCAACAAGAAGAGATAATGCTGGAAATACATATGTGCAAATAGCGGAGCACCTATCCTCATAAAACAAACATTGCTGGATATTAAAGGTCAAATAAAGACTAAAAATCATAGTGAGTGTCATGGCTTGTGTCTAGATTTCCCCCAAAGCCTCATGTGGTCATTGGTGGGGCTTTTCTGAGGTGGCTGGATCTAGGGTGTGGGATTAAGGGTGTGTGATTACTAAATTAGTCCACTGATTGGATTGGGACAGCACTGGGTGTGGATAATGGGAAAGCCCTCCCTGGGTGTGGGCGGCACCATCTAGAGGGCAGGTAGCCTGGAAGGGGTAAAGTGAGAGCCAGCCAGCTCTGTCACTCACTGCTGCTTTGCTACTTTGCTGCTTTGCTGCCTTCTGCCCACCATGAACTGTTTCTCCATTCTCATCTGCTGTGCCACCCTGCCTTGGAGCCACCCAAATATGGACTGAAACCTCTGAGCTAAATAAACCTTTCCTCTCTTAACTCTGGGTGTCAGGTATTTTGCCTCAGTGAGAAAAGGAACTAAGAGTGGATGATCTCAATATCTCACTTTTGTAAAGAGACAGATCAATGAAACAAAAAAACCAAGAAAGAAATTTCAGAATTGAGCCACATTCCTGAACATCCAGACTCAGTAGAAGTCTATGGAGTGCTCTCTGCCCCAGTACAAAAGTACATTCTTCTCAGCAGCACATGGAACTTTCTCCAAAACAGACAACATTCTGGCCCACAAAGCCTGCTTCGGGAAATATAAAACAATTGAAATCAACCCATGTCTTCTATCAGACCATTGTGCAATGAAACTAGAAACCAACCACAGAATAAACCACAGGAAATGTATAGACATCTGAAAACTTAATAACATGCTCCTCAACACTCAGTGGGTCACAGAAGAAATCAAGGAAGAAGTTAGACAATTTCTGGTAGCAAATGATAACCCTAGTCCAACACACTGGAGCCTATGGAACATAATGAAAACACCCCTAAGAAGGAAGTTCATTGCAATCAATGCTTGCATTAGAAAATCTGAAAAAGAAAAAGAAAAACAGAGCAAGCTCAGATAAATAATCTAATGAGGAACTTCAAGATACTTGAGAAACAACAACAATCCAAGCCCAAATTGAAATTAAGGAGGCAAATCATAAAATCTGAGCAGAAATTAATTAAATTGAGACGAAAAACAATACAAAGCATCAACACATCAAAGAGCAGGTTCTTTGAAAGAATAAGCAAAATAGGTAAAGCTTTAACCAAACTTACCAAAAGAAAGAGAGAAAAGACTCACATCAGTGCAATTAGAAAAGAAAAAGGTGAAATCACAGCAGGTACTGTTGAAATCCAGGGGAAAGTAGTAACTACTAGGAAACATTATATTCCAACAAATTAGCCAATTTTGGAGAAGTGGACAGATTCCTAGACTCATATGAATTACAAAGTTAAACCAAGAAGACACAAAAGTATTGAACTATCCAATAATGAGCAATGAAATTGAGGCAGTAAAAACTACCCTACCAACTAAAACAAGCCAGGACCGGATGGATTCACTGCCGAATTCTGCAAAACCTTTCCGGAGGTTATGTCACCAATACTCCTTAAGCTCTTCATGGAACTGAAAGGGACAGAGCGCCCCAGACTCATTTCTGTTCTCCAAACCAAAGATCCAACTGAAAAAGAAAATTACTATACAATCTCCTTAATGAACATAGATGCAAAAATCCACAATAAGATATTAGGAAATAGAATGCAGCAAATCATCAAAAACATCATACATCATGATCAAGCAGGTTTCATCCCAGGATTGCAAGGTTCAACATACACAAATCAGTCAATGTAACATATCACACGGACTGAAGGCAGGACAAGAGCCACATGGTCCTATCAATAGATGGGGAGAAGCTTTTTTTTTTTGGTACCAGGGACCGAACTTGGGACCTTGTGCTTGTGAGGCAGGCGCCAGAACCACTGAGCTAAATCCCCGGGCCAGGGAAAAAGCTTTTGACAAAATTCAACAGACCTTCATGACAAAAACCCTGAAGAAAGTAGGTATAGAAGGACCCTAGGCTGGGTACTGTGGCACATGCCTATAATCCTAGCACTCGAGAGGCTGAAGGGGGATCAGTGTGAGTTCAAGGCCAATCTGGGCTACATAGCATCTCAAAAAGAAGAAGAAAAAAAGACTGTACCCGAATTCGATAAAAGCCATTTATGACAAATTGATGGCCAACATCATATTAGATAGGAGGAAATGGAAAGCTTTCTTGCTAAAATCAGCAACAAGACAAGGTGTCCATTATCACTTCTATTCAACATAGTACTCAAAACATTAGCCAGAGCGATCAGGCAAGAGAAATAAAAAGGTACACATAGGAAAGGAATAACTCAAATGATCATTATTTGTAGATGACACGATTCTCTACACAGCAGTTTCAAAAAATTCTTAGAATTACTAACCAATTTCAGCAATGTAGCAGGATACAAAAATCAACACATAAAAATCAATAGCATTCTAGGGGTCGGGGATTTACCTCAGTGGTTCCACTGCCAGCCTTGAAAGCACAAGGACCCGAGTTTGATCCCTGGTACCAAAACAAAACAAAATGAATAACGTTCCCCTACTCCAATAATAAATTCAATGCAAAGAAATTAGGGAAACAGTAGCATTCACAATAGCATCAGGAAAAATGAAATACCTAGGAATTGACATAACCGAAGAAGTGAAAGACATCTACCATGAAGACTCCAGTACTCTGAAAAAAGAGATCAAAGAGGACATCAGAAGATGCAAAGCTGTCTCCTGCTCCTGGATAGGCAGAACCAACATTGTTGAAATGGACCCATGCCTCTCACCATGTAGTAAACTGAAATCAGAATGCATCAAAAAGCTAAACATGAAAACAGACACATGGAACCTACTGGAAGGTAAAATAGGTGAAACACTAGCTGCTAGAAGAGAGAATAGGTAGAACTTTTAAAGACATAGGTGTAGACAAAGACTACGAACAAAACCCTGATCAAACAGAAAATACTACAAAGAATGAACAACCAGAATCTCGTCTTATTAAAAAGCTTTTGCACAGCAAAAGAAACCACCAACAGCATGAAGAGACAGCCCACAGTGTGGGGAAAAACGTTTTGCCAGCTATTCCTCAAAGGTCTACTATCTAGAATATATAAAGAAATTAAAGAAAAATCAGTCCACCCAAATTTTAAGGCCCAACCCCAAAATGGGCATCTGGAATGAAAAGACACATCTCAGATGAAGAAGTAGAAATGGCAAATCAATATATGAAAAAATGTTCAACATCACTGGTCATTCGAGAGATGCAAATGAAAACAATGCTGAGATTCCAACTCACCCCAGAAAGAATGGCTGCTATCAAGAAATCCACCAATAACAAATGCTGGCGGGGCTGTGGGGAAAGAGGAACCCTGCTCCACTGCTGGTGGGAGTGTAGACTGGCGCAACCACTGTGGAAATCAGTATGGAGATACCTCAAAGAACTAGGACTGGAAGTCCCATTTGACCCCGCTATTCCCCTGCTGGGGATCTTCCCCAAAGAATTAAAAGCATCATACCATAGCGATATATGTGAACCCACATTCATAGTAGCACAATTTGTAATAGCTAAATCTTAGAAACAGCCTAAATGCCCATCAGCTGATGAATGGATAAAGAAGATGTGGGTTTTTAAAATACAATGAAGTACTACTCTGCCATAAAGAAGGATGAGCTTCAGACATTTCTAGGTAAATGGATGCACCCTGAGACCATCCTGTTAAGTGAAATAAATTGAACACTCACGGTTAAATGCCACATTGTTTCTCCGGTGCAAGAAACCAAAAGTGTAAATAATGACCAAAATGCCTAACAGGTATTGGGAAATGGTAAGAAAATGTTCAAAGGAGAAGGGGAACAGGGGAAAGGGAGAAGGGGAAAGGAAGGAAGGGACGAGGAAAAAAAGAGAATAGAAGAAAAAAATGGAAATAAAGCTTTTGTAAATGAGGAGGGGAAGAGGGGTTGCAGGGAGGGGAGGGGAATGAGGAAAAAGCAGGATATATTGTGTACAGGTACTCGTTCCCTATGATGAATGCTATCGTTATGCACATCTAAAATGCACCAATTGGGGCCGGAGATTTAGCTCAGTGGTTCCACCGCCTGCCTTGCAAGCTCAAGGTCCCAAGTTCGATCCCTGGTACCAAAAAAAAACAAAAACAAAAACAAACAACATAAAATGCACCAATAAAATGAAAAATGCAAAGAAAAACCCACTTGAAGTCACAGGGGTAGGACTTTGAGCAGGACTCCAATTGCACAAGAAGTAACAGCAAGAATCAGCAAGTGGGGTCACACCAAATGGAAAGGCTTCTGTGCAACCAAGGAAACCACCAGAGCACAGGGACAACGCAGAACGGGGAAAAATGCTTGCCAGTTACTCCTCAGACAGAGGACTAGTACATAAAATAGACAAAGAACTCCAAAAAATTAGACTACCCCAAATAAAAGACCCAGTCAGGAAATGCACAAGGGAAGTGAATAGACACTTCTCAGAAAAAGTAGTGCAGTACAAGGCCGGGCCTGGGGGCACACGCCTGTCAGCTCTCCTGAGGCTGAGGCAGGAGGACCCCCCTGAGTTCAAGGCCAACCTTGGCTACACAGTGAAACCCTGTCTCAAAAAACCCAAACCGAACAAACAGAACTCCACAGTTGCACAAACTGTTTTATTCCCATCGCACCCCCAACCTACTGACTCCAGGGCAGGGGTCACCGCTTGCTTGACCCCAGGTCCGTGTGGGTGGGGCTGCTGGGGACCCCCTGCTCCCGCTCTTTCCTGGTGTCCCGAGGGCCCCTGAGCACCCCGTTCTCCACAGCGCCCACTTCTGGCCCCCGCTTGCCACCGGAACCCTCTGTCCCGCAGCCAGGGACGGGTGCTGCACCCCAGCCCCCGCCTCCGGAGGGCTCAGGACCCCGCTTTCCTGGCTCCAAATGCTCCTCACTTCAGCCTCCTGTGAACGCAGAGGTCCTGGTTGGCCTTGAAATTCGGAGGTGACTCAGCCTGGCTTCCCAAGTGCAGTTTAGCATCCCATCTGAGTCGAGCTCAGCACTGGGTGGTGGTGCGGTCCTCCGAGCCGGCTGGATCCACCCCAGACAAGTCCTAGCAGAGGGTCCTTCGTGTCTTCCCCGCCTCGGAAAGGAGTTGGTGATATTTTCGGAGGTCCCTGCAGCCTACAGTCTAGGGAGCATGGGATGGGCAGTACCAAGGGGGTTTTGAAGGATGCATAGGAGTTGACCAGCGGCGGACTCACACGTCCCACTCTCCCTGGCACACCCGCTGCTCAGCTCACCCATCAAGGCCAAGGTCTCGGCTTCCTGGGAGGAAGGTGTCCCTTAGCAGGCGAACAGTGCTGCCTCAGTAGACCTGCTTCTGGCGCCCGCAGGCCAGGTCCGGCCTGCTGAGCGCATCCCACATGAGCAGCATCTCATAGGGCAGGAAGCGGTGAACCAGCAGCAGCTCGCGGTAGAAGCAGGGGTCGAAGGAGGACAGGGCGGCCGAGGGCGCATGCACGCCGGCCGTGCGCACCCCGCTGTGCGAGGCGGGGCGCAGGCCCTGGTGGTGCAGGCAGCGGCCCAGGAAGACGTCGTCGATGGGGAAGAGGTCCAGGGCGGACGCCGCGCGCTGTAGGGCGCGGGCCGTGAAGCGCGACAGCAGGAAGCCCCCGCCCCCACAGTAGGGCGGGTACTGCTCGTCCTCGGTCACCAGGCGCGGCACGAAGTACTTGCTCCACGGCACACGGATGGGGCCCACGCCCTGGATCAGGTGTCCCGCGAACAGGTGGTGCTCGGGGTCCAGGCCAAGCAGGAAGGCGACCATGTTGTCCGTGTGCGCGAAGACGTCATCGTCCCCGTTGAGCACGAAGCTGGCGTCGGGGCACCGGGTCTTCTGCCACTCCAGGAACAGCACCTGGTGGGGGACAGTGGGCTCCAGATGCCACGGGCCCCTCGGCGGGTCCCTGGCGTCTCTCTGCGCCCGCCGCAGAGCGGCACTGGCCCTGCTCGTTTTTCACTGGGAGACGGGGTCTCGCTAAGCCACACGAGACCCTCCTGCCTCAGCCTCCCAGCACAGGTCTTTATCCAGCGCCTCTCATTGTACCCTCTGGGCCAGACCCTGGTCCCGAGAGGAGCCGGAGCCGGAAAGAGAAATGGGCCGCATCTGCGGCTCGGCCTAGGTGCGCTAAGTGTCCTGGGCCCATGCCAGTGCCTTGTGAACACCATGGGGTGGGCAGAGGCAGGAGGGTCTCTCCCGTATCCTGTTTCGCAGGGGAGGAAACAGGCATAGAGAGGTAAATGATCTTCCTATGCCGCCCCACTGGAGATTCATGCAGGTCATTTCAGCCCCTCTGCCCTTCCTCCCAGCATTGCCCAGAGGAGAAGCTGACTCCAGAGCCAGTGAGGACAGGAGATGTGAGTGCAGGGACCCCATGGGAGTCTCTGGTCCCCGTGCCTCACCCATACCATGCATTTATGAATAAAATCTTATTCTGTTGATCTCCGGAGAACTCCTATGCATCCTTCAAAACCCCAGCTCTCATGACCTCTTCCTGGAAGCTCCTTGCTCCCCTCATCCTGTGTACCTGCTTCAGCGTGAGGTTGAAGAAGGTGTCGTGGAAATCCCACTGCAGGATGTCGCCGTACTCCCGCGCCTCCAGTGCCAGCAGCCGGTTGACCTTGGTGGCCTCGTGTGGGTTGGCAGAGGTGCCCACCAGGAAGAGGCGCCGCAGGGTCGCCCCCTGCACCTGCCGCTCTTGGCCCCACGTGCGCCGCACGATGTCCCTGCGCTCGTAGTTGGCGGGCGAGGACTTGATGGCGAGCAGCAGGAACACGGGCGGCGCGCACTTGGCGGGGGGCGGGTCCTGCAGCAGCCGGAAGTCGCGGCAGTGTCGGTAGAGCAGGAAGTCACGCACGTGTGGGGGCTGCCCCGCGAAGTCTGGGTGCGCGGCCAGCGAGGTGTTGGGGAGACACGGGGCGGGCGGGGGGCGCGTGGGGGGCTGAGCTGGGGTTCCCGGGGTCTCGGGGGTCTCGGGGATGTCCCGCCGCCTGTATATCCCCAGGGAGGACAGGGGGCCCGCGTGTAGGCTGAGGAGCACGAGGGAGGTGACAGCGCCCAGGGCCAGCGCCAGGTCAGGCCGCCGTGCCCGGGGCCAGCGCATCCTGGTGGCCGGATCCCTTGATGGCCCCTGTGGGAGGGGAGATGCTTTCCCTGAGCTACACTGGACACCTGGCTGCACATGTACAGTTGCCCAGGTTGGCAAATGACTGAAATTCACCCTTGACCTGTGCCCGACCTCATCCCTTGCAAGATCCCCTTCAGCACCCCAACCCATGTTGGCTCCTTGTTTTGTAGGGGTGCTGGGGATGAAACCCAGGGCCTCTCACATCCTTGGCAAGTGCTCACCACTGAGCTGCACCCCCAACCTATGAAATTAAATATTTTATTTTTACCAGGACCTCATTTTATAGGAAGAACTGAAAAACAGAGGCAGCAAAATGCTCCCCTCACATTGTGCCCAATCTCTTTACCTGTTGCTGACTCAGAAATGGCTCCAGAGCCTCCCTGTGGGCGGCGAGGGACTTTTAAAATCACAGTAGAGCGGCTGGGTCCTTCCTGTTTCCCTTCTTGTCCACCTCACCAGGAAGCTCAGAGCTTTTGGTTATAGCCATTACCCATTCTTCCTGCTTTTAGTGGTTCGTTAACCTAAATGTGGGCCCTGGCACATCTTGGATCCTCAAGCCCAGCATGAACTCCTGTCCCTTCCCTAAAATCCACCTCAAGGGGTTCATTTTCCAGGAAGCCCTCGCTGACCCATTAGCAAGAGGTCTGGTTCCCTTTCTAGCCCAGTCCTGATTTGATGGAGGGTTCTGTGTCTGGCTTTGTCTTCTCGGAATTGGGGGCCCCTTAGGGCTTCTGACCTTTCTGGGGGATCAAGGAGTGTTGGATGAAATTTCAAGTAAAAGCGAATTCATTCAGTTTCTCCCTGGTGAACTCTTACACATCCTTCAAAATCCCAGCTCTAATGACCCTTCCTCCTACAAGCTGTCCTGTCCCACATCCACTCTGAACTGTTAGTCTCCCTTCCAAATCTACTCACCAGGCTTCTCTCAACTCTGTCGCAGCATTGTGAAGGCATGAGGGGCTTCCAGCATCCCACACCCAGTGGAATTCAGTGAGTGTTTGTTGAATGAATGTGAAGACCTCAGCACTTACCTCAGGCAGTCTTGGGATGTAAGTGCTGGCTTGGAGTTTCCTCAGTCTTCCCAACAGCACCTGCAACAGTGTAGGGTAGTCAGGGGTCTGTTGGGCCCCTTTGACCCCAAGTGTCCCCTGGCTCCCTTAGCCAGCTACTGCCTGAGCAAGGCAGAGCACATTCTGGCTTCTAACGGAGGCCACAGGTCCATGTTGGCGCTGGGGACAGGGCCTTCCTCCCTGATCCACGAGGCCATTTCCCAAGTACACTCATTCCAGCCTGGCAAGGCCTTGTGGGCCATATTATGTGTGCAGTCCTGAAACTGGCCTCAGATGACACTTCCTGAATTCTTCTGTGTGACCTTGGAAGAGAAGCTTGGACTCTGAGCCTCAGCAAACAGCGGGAAGAATCGACCTCATGTAAAAATGCTGTAGAGACCTTGTCCTCTGGTATCAGTCAGCCTTCCCATTGCTGAGACATAATACCCCACACCCACAACTTAGAAGGAGGGGTTTAACTTGGCTCATGGTTTCAGGGGAGTCAGTCCATGGTTGGCTGCTCCACGGCAGGTGCATCATGGCGGAAGGGGATGGTGGGGGTGAGCTGCTCCATTCACAGTGGGCGGGGAGCAGGAAAGGGGAAGTGTGCCAGAGAGGAAGTAGTTAAGAGCCAGATATAGTTCCCAACTCATGCTCCGTGACCTACTTAGACACACCTAGACATATGATTGACTAATTCTCCAGGCATTTCTTAAGCCAATTAACTTGGTACAATCAAGATCAAAATTACATTCCACTCTCTGTCAGCTTGACAGTGAAACATGTCCTTTGGCCATCCTTTATCCCCAAATAAAGGTAAGAGTGATTTCATAATTCTGGCAGTTGTACTCTCCTGGATACAACTGAAAATACAGTTCCTTCCCCCAAAGCCTCAACAGCCCTGGCACTGCCAAAAAGCCCAAGTCCAAGTCTCCTCTGAGACTCAAGGCAGAGTCTTATCTGTGAAACTCTGTAAAAATAAAACAAGTTCCAGAACCCCAAGGTACAGTGGTGCAGGCTAAGCACTGCCATTCCAAAATAAGGAATAAAGGATTAGAAATGAATATGAGTGAAGATAGATCAAAACCAGCAAATATTAAATCCTGTAACTCCATGTCCAGTGCCTGGGCAGGTGGTATGAGCTGTCAGCTCCAAATGGCTTGGGCAGACCCGTACCTGGGACCTTGATGTCTGCAGCCTGCATTGTATCTCCCTTGAGCAGGTTCTGTCTGCAGCCTGCAGCTTTCCTCAGCAGATGGTCCCCATCCCTGACTTCTCTTATGTATTGGGGTCTCCAGTGAACTTTCACAGCTTCTCACGCACAGTGTCTCACACTGCCCTCTCAGGGCCACACCGCCTGGCCTCCAAGATCTCCTGAAGTTGGGGAGGATGCTTCCATGACCCCACTACTCTTGCATTCACTATGGCTGTAAAACCAGCATCACAGGGATGATGACAAGGTCTGCCAGCAGCTCAAGCAAGAGCTTGGCCCCCTTCAACCATGGCCGAGGAGGCCTCTGTGTGCCTGGTGGCTGAGCATGGTGAGATGGCTCCTGGAACCAGTGCCCTAGCCCTTCTTGAGCAGGAGGCCTAAGTGCTCTCTTCTCAGATGAAAGGTCGACGCTTTGGCACCATGATGTGAGGCAGGTGGGGTCTTGCTGATTCCTGACATGCCCTCAGGGCATCTTTCTCCTGGTCGCTGAGTAAAGTACTTGGCTTCTTTTTAATTGTCCTACTCTCTTCAGCAATCACACATCACTTGGTTCCAGTTTTTCACATGGTTCCTTTTGGGCCCAAATGGAAGTTTTTCAAAAAATTTTGTTCTGCTTCTTGCCCAGTTCTGCCTGGATCACTCCTCCCTGGACTACCTCCCTCCTGTAACTCATCCTGTCTTTACTCTGTGTCCCTTTCTCAGGGAGACCCCTGACTCCCCACCAGGTCCTACTTTTTCCTGTAGCATATGGTATCTGCTAGGACGCAGAGCAAAACTCTTAACCTCAGGCTGTTCCTTGGCTAGTTCCCTTACCAGAGGGACATAGATCCCATGTGACCCATCTTGTTCTTGACTTCATCTCCAGCCTCCCTGTACAGAGTAGGTATTCAACAAATGAGTGTGCATTGGGCAACCATAGCCTCTAAAAAAATAATGATTCTTGGGATGAACTTACATGATCACTCATTCCAGCCAATGCTGACTGTCCCCCACCAGAAAGCCCTCCAAACCCTGACCTTTTGAGTGGTTATAAGGGCTCATTAAATAGGCAGAAAGGACTCTATCCCCAGGCATGAGTGACCAGTGGCCCTGCTCCCCTCCCTGGAAGTTGGGGTGGGGCTCTTTTTCCCATTGAATAGCCTCTCTAGAAGTTTCCTCCTGGTGGCCTCAGCATCTACAGGGCAGGGTCACTTCAGAGACCAGATAGGTAGTTCGCAGTATTGCAGGGAGAGATGGGGTCTGGTGGCTGCTTTTGAGTTTGAGGCCTGGGAGGCATCAGGGTTGAGATAGATGTGAATGGCAGGGACACTGGCTTGGTGGAGTGTGGGGAAAGGACTGAGGGATGAGGCAGGGTGAACGTCCTGGGGAAAGGGAGGAGATGTTGGAGCTGGAAGCTAAGCCCCAGAGATTTTGTTCCTGAAGGTGGATCTGGGAGCCCCGGTCAAATAACACTTTGGGAGACAGAGACAGGATGATTACATGTTTGAGCTCAGCCTAGGCAACTTGGCAAGAGACTGTCTCATAAACCAAAACAACCAAGGGCCGGGGCTGTAGCTCAGTGGTTCCGGCACCTGCCTCACAAGTGCAAGGACCTGAGTTTGATCCCTGGTACCAAAAAAAACACACAAAAACCCCAAAAAAACCCCAAAACAACCAACCAAACATTCATTTTTACCTGGTCACTGAAAAGGGGGATTGGAGCAAGAGGGGGTCAAACTACCCAAAGGCTTCTGTTCATGGAATTGGAGTTTCAGGGTGAAACAGAACCGCTTGGGGTGACGATTTGGCTTCAGTGAATCTCATCAAGGCTTGTTCCTTTGTTTGCATTTTCTTAGTTTTTGTAAAAACTCTTTACATATGAAGCATTCTTCATCAGTGGCCTGTTTTTCTTCTCTGAGCTCTGGTTTTGCTTAATGTAAGGATTCTAAGTCCAACAACCAGACTCCATCCTAGCCACTCCTATCCAGCCACGTCTATGAAGGTCACTCATTCATTCAGCAGCATGTGACAGTCAGCTCTCAGGAGGGTTTGCATAGTTCACATAGGAGTTGGTGGCAGGCAGAGTCTCCCCTCCTCCTGGTATCCCAGAGCAACTGAGACCCACGCCCTGTATCCCACTCTCCAGGGCGCCCCCCCAAAGTCATGAAGCATGAAAACCTCAAGCAGGAAACAGCTTCAGAGCTGGCCACATCTGGACCTGTGTGACACAGTGCTTCTGGCCCAGCCTGGGGAGACTCAGTGCTTTTTCCAGATGGCCCCCTGCCTGCACATGTGAAAATCATTCACCCATGGATTCATTCAAGCATACGCTGAATGCTTCTGTGGGAGTTTTGATGCCTGAACCCTGGACAGGGCCCCCCTTGTGGGGTTAGAGCTGGGCCAGCGGGAAAGAGTGGGATATCGAAGCTGAGGTTTTGAAGGATCCATAGGAGGTTGATCAATCCTCCAGGACACCATGCAACACCACGAGACACGGTGCTTTGTGAATAGCTGTCCTGCTAGATGGGTTAGAGCAGTGATGGGGAACCTTTTAGGGTTTCTATAATTAATAACACACAGCCCGCTGCAGCACATGTGCCACAGGTTTGCCCCCACTGCTTTAGAGACTAAGGACTGCATATTCAGTACGGATGCGATTTTTTCCAACATTTCCTTTTTGTTCCGTTGTTTTGTTTTGAGATAGGGTGTCATTATGTTGCCTGAATTGGCCTCGAATTCACAGTGGTCTTCCTGCCTCTGCCTCCTGAATGCTAGGATTAGGGGTGCGCAACCCACCAGGCCACCAATATTTTCAGTCTGAGGTGGGTTAAATACGCAGATTCTGGATCTCTGGAGGCTGAGGGCGGACACATGACTGAATACTAATAAGCCACTAAACAGCCCAGAGGCTCTGAATATTCATGAGCCACTGGCCACACAGAGCAAGGAACATCAATGAGTGGTTGAATATTAATTATCCATTGAATATTAACTAGTGGTCAAATATTAATGAGCAGCTGAATATCAATGAGTGGCTAGATCCACACAAGGGGCCGACTGCTCAGCAGAATCAATTTCTGGCCCCATGTCCCCCACTATTGCTCCCAGGTGACAGAGCTGGGCCCTTGTCCCAGGCATGTGTGGCTCCAGCACTTTTGTCGCCCTCAGCCCAGTGCCTCAGGAGGCAGAGGCCTCATCCCTGCTTTGCCCTTCAGCTGTGGAGACAAAAGAACTGATGTCCTTGGCACAGTCTTAGTGGCCTTGGCAGATTAGCCAGCCCTGAGCCAGCCGCTGAGCACCCGTAGGACCCACAGGGCGTGCTGGCCCATCCATGCCTCTCGTTCCAGCACTTGGGAGGCTGAGGCAGGAGGATCGCTGGGAGTTCAAGCAGCCTGGGCTACATGGCCAGACCCTGTCTGAAAGACACAAGATAGAAAGCTGGGATACAGCAGCTTCCAATCCATGGCCCCCACATCAGGCACGACCGCCATGATTGTCCCTTTCCAGCTGGCTTAGCAGTGGCCTCCGGGAGCACCAGGACGGCAGCCTCTCTGGAACATTCCAGCCAAGTGGGGGCGGAGACGCCCCAGAAGCTGGGCGGTGAGCACAAGGTCAGGCGAGGGCGCAGCCCAGCTCTTTGTGGTGGCCTTTGGTGCGTGTGACTCGGCTAAGCGCTGCTCACACCAGTAGCGGCCACCGCTGTCCCCTGCCCAGGCACTGAGTGCCTTGTGTGTGCCACGGGACATGGCCAAGACGACGAGAAACTGCAGCTGTCACTGAATGGGCGGCAGCGAGGAGAGGCTTTCCAGGAGAACAGCAGACTCCAGGGGTGCGCGATTCCCTGGCTCTGCAGGGGCTGCGCGCTGGGCCCAGAGGGGGCAACGGCAGCTGGAGGCCACACAGCCCTGGAACTGCAGCGCTGGCCTGCCTAACCCCAGTGCAGCGCTGCCAGCTGCTTTCCTGACAATGCCAGGCAGGGCTGTTTTTATAAGGTGTGGCAATTGCTATTATAAACAGGAAAAAAAACAGAATAAAATGCCAATAAAGTGATTGCTTAGGTTCATTCCAGCCAGGCTCTGCTTTGTAGGGCCGCATGCTCGCTGTTCAGGTCAGGCTGCCCAGATTCGCCCCGCTGGACACCTGGGTGTGGGATGGGACACTGCCCTTCACACCTGGCTTCCAGGTTTCCAGGGCCCCAGGCGCAGTCACCTGCCAAGTCCCCGGTAATTCACTGAACTGCCTGGAGACCTGAGGTGGTTTCAGGAGGGGCCCTGAATAAATCAGCCCAGGTGTGGCTAAGCCTCAAGGGCCATGTGGAGGCTCACCATGTGGAGAAACTGAGGCTGGGCTTCTCAGTCCCTAGCATCCGGGCCTCTCCTTGGGAAGCTCTGTGGACCTTTCAGGCTGCTTAGGGTCCTCCCCGAGCCCTGCACTTTCTGAAGGAGTCAGCAAATCAATTAGCTGCATTGTGTTTTTGGTTTTTGACACAGGTTCTTGTTATGTAGCTCAGGCTGGCCTTAATTTTCCTGCTTCAGGCTCCTGAAGTTTACACCTAGCACCATCTGGCTCCACTTTTATAGAGAGGGAAACTGAGGCATAGAAGGATCAACTCCTCAAAGGGGTTTGGGTGGGAATCCAGTCTCTGCCTTTACCACCTCATGGGATTCCTTCCATTTTCTGGGTTGGTAATGAGCTCCCCATCACAGGAGGCAAACAGGCCAGGCCAGAGTCCCGCCAGGAAGAGGGACTGACTGCTCAGGACAACCTCCTTGGCTCACGGGTGCCCCAGGTAAGTCCTTGCCCTGCTCTGGCTTCCAAGGCTGGCAGCAAGAGGACAAGTGCCCCGTGGAGACTCCCAGCTCCGTCTGCCACAGCCTGGAATTGCCTGCAGGAGAGGGCGGGGAGGGAGGGGCCTGGGCTGGGCAGGGAGGGCCCCGCCGCGGGGCCTCCCCACCCTGGGGACTGCGGCACATTGGTGGAGCCGCCAGGCTGGCCCGACCCCACTCAGGGAGCCCACAGGTGGTCCTGGCCCAAGTGGGCCTGCCTCAGTTTCCACACCTGAAAAGGTGGCCCCAAACACAAAATCTGCCCCAGAGTGAAAGTGGCCGGCACGGGTCTGGCGACGTCGCTGTTTCTGCCGGTTCTCCGGGGACGGATAACGGCCCCCGGCGGCCACCGAGTCTTCACCACCGCCAGGTGCCACCCAGACAGAGGGAAACTGAGGCTCGGAGGCTGAAGACCACTCACCGAAGCTGCCCTACCGCGGCGGAGGCGCAGACAGCGCTAAGAACCTCCTCGCAGCGGGGTGGCCACCCGCCTCTGGGAAGGGAAACTGAGGCACGTCCAGAGACCAGAAGCTACCTGCCCACGCCGGTAGGGTCGGGGCCCGCACCTGGGGTGGCTGCGTCCCCAGATGTGGCCTGGCGAGTTCTCCGCAGTCCCGGGCCTGGAAGAGCAGCGATTCCGGGGACCCCACACAGGGAAAGTCTGCTGCCCACTGAGGCCTCGGGAGCTCGGCCGACCCCCTCCCTGGGCTCCGTGTCTCTTCCCAACACCCGCACACTCACCGCCGGGACGCGCCAGCCTTCAGCCGCTCCGCGCAGGAGGAGGAAGGGTTTTTACCTGAGCCCCAGCCCGAGCCCACGCCCTCCGGCTCCTTCCTGCCGCGCTCCCCGCCTCCCGCCTCAACAGCGCGGGTGCTGTCTCCCAGCTGCGGCGGGTTTCCTGGTGGCCGAGGCAAAATTCCCCGCCAGCTCCGGTCGGCCACGCCCTCCCAGGGCCACTTCTCCATTCCAGCCACGCCCCCTCTCCCACCGGCCACGCCCCCGAGCCACTTCTCCAGCCCCGCCCCGCCCCGCCCCGCCCCTTCGGTCCGCTCTGGTCCTCCCGGGCCCACCCTCGGGGCCACAGCGAGGGAGGGAGGAGTTCCCGCGCTGGAGGGTTGCAAGCCACGCCCTGCGTTCCCCGGTGCTGGGCCCCGGCCAGGCCCAGCGTGTGTTCCACTGAGGAAACCTTAGCTGGGAGGCATGTTGAACCCAGGGGTCCTCAGATCCTTTCAGGGGTTCCAAGGTTCTGGAGCCCCTGACACCCGCAGGCTGCAGGCTGGAGAGGTCCGGGACGTTGTGCATTTAGGGGTTTGGGCTCAGGGAGGACTCACCTCCTCTTCCTCCCCGACCCCTGTTCCTTCCGGAGGAGGAAAGGGTGTCCGGCTGCGCCTCAGTTTCCTCACCTGTGCAATGCTGGATAAAGCGCCCCCTGAGGGCCCCTGGGCGGGACAGGTCGGGGCGTGGACTCTGAGGGGCCAGCGCGAAACTCGGCTGGCTTCCTGCAGGGCAGTGACCTCCGGGTCAGCGCTGCTTTGCATGGTAAACACGAGACTGGCTTGAGCCCCTGTCACCCCACGGGGCCCCTGGAGGGAGCTGTCGCCTGGGAGAGTCGGTGGCGGTCGCCATGCCCTCCTCCAACAGACGCAGCTCCTGATGGCCTCACCCCAGAACCTCGAGGTCACAACGGGCAGATGCTGGAGTCAGTCAGTTCCCGGAGAATCCCGAACAGCGTGCGAGCAGACCCTGCACACATGGCTCACAAAGGCACTGCTCACAACAGCCGGAGCTGGCCGCAGCCAAGGGCCTGTCGGCAGATGCACAGGCCCACGAGCGTGAGCAGCCACCCGGCGGGCTATCACTCGATGGTGGAAAGGCACAGACACGACCCCGGCGACCACCGGGCTGACCCTCGAAGCCAGCCGCCCGAGGCTGTGTGAGCCTGTTGTTTTGGTTTTCTTTCCGAATTTTAATTTCTCTCAGGGAACTGGTACATGCCAGTGTCTCATCTTGGTCGTTGATAAGAACTTTCCAGACCAGAGCAGGAAAACCCAGAGACAGGACGCAGCTGGGTGGCTGCCAGGAGGCTGCGGAGCAGACAGGGGCAGGTCTGCTACGAGGGTGGGAAATGCTCCAGAAGCAGAGGTAAAGTGGTGGTTGTACACACTTGTTTGTGTTTGTTTTTCTGTTGTTTCCTTATTAAGACAGGGTCTCAAGGAACCCAGGTTGGCTTCAAACTCCCAGGTTCTCCTGCCTCAGCCTCCTGAGTACTGGGATGCTAGGCCTGTGCCACCATGCCTGGCTGGTGCTTGTATCATAGACAGCTAAGTTAGGTAGAAATATTGTAGGCAGTCAACATGGCTGGGCCCTCAAAGGAGTCAGTGCCGAAGACGAAGACACTTTACAGCTGTGGGTGGAGGCGCAGCTGTTGGAGGCCAGGCCTCAAGTCAGGGGTGAAATGTTCACAGGTGCTTCGCCAGGGAGAAACAATGACTGGTAAATAGGCATCAATCACCTGCGCGGGGGACCGAGGCCCTGCCCCACGCCTTCCTGGAAGGGCCTTGTTCCTTTCCTGCACACCTGCCACGTGAGCTGCCTTCGCCCCGGAGCAGTGTTACCCGAGAGGGTTCACTGCAGTCTTACCGGTTGACCATAGATTGTCCCACCCGATGCCCACCTCGTGACTTTGCTGTATAAAACTTCTTTGAGAAGAGGCCTCGTGGGCAACCCGCTTTCCGGGTCCCATTCTGTCTGTCTCAGAAGCTGTCTTTCCCTCAATAAATATTTCCTACTCTAAACCTCCATTGTCCCTAAAAGTTATTCTTGGATTTTAGGGAACAGGAACTCTGTGTTTCAGACACCTAGCAGGTTGGGAGATGTAATCTGTCCCTCTGTCCGTGGGGGCCTCCTGTCACCCCTAGATCACTCGTGCAAGTCCGTGACTGTCCCCAGGGCCCCTTTAAATGGTTCATTTCCTGTTATGTGAATTTCACCTTAAAAAAACAAACGCTGACTCGGGCAGGGACTCAGCCCCTCAGCCGATTCGTTGCTCTGTGCCAGAGGTGTGGTTGGGGACCCCCAGACCAGGGCATCATTCCCAGTGGAGGGGTGGGTTAAAGGGCCCCACCTGCCAAGATAGGAGTGTGCGCCACCTGGCGGTCCAGAGGTCACCCCGAGCAAACAGCCGGCCTGGCCTCACAAGGGGCCCCACTTTCTGAAAACCAGAGCCACCAGGAGGTGCAGGCTCCTGCGTGCCGCATGGCAGCCCCCGCCCAGGAGGAGATAACAGGCCCAGAGCTGGCAGTGGAGGCGGTGAGCCCCAGGCAGGGCCCAGGCACGGAAGGGCACCCCGGGGCGACCGCCACATTGGCCTGGCCTGCTTGCACACCGGTGTGCCAGTCTTCGGGGAGGGGACCTTGCCCTGGGCCCTCAATGGCTGTCCCTACCTGGGGCAGGCGGCCGCTTCCTTCCTGAAGCCACAGAGCAGGAAACCCAGGGGCCTGGGCTTCACCCCAAGAGCTGAGGCCCCTCAGGGGAAGCAGGGCCTCCCAGAGAGCAGCTGAGTCACAGGCCCAAGTCCCTGATGCCACTCAGGAAAGCGCAAGCGATGGCTGCCTCAGCCTGCAGTGTCCCCACTCTACCTAGGACGCATAATCGCCATTCATGTACCGGGCATTGCGTTGATCATGAGCTTGCTGGGAGCCAAGGACATTCCCCAGACCTCTCCCAAAACAGGGTTTCCCTCATTTTATAGATGAAGAAACTGAGGAGAGAGAAAGGATTAGAGGAGCCCAGGGGGAGAGGCCAGGGCTTTTATAGTCACGAAGAGGAGGTGGTATTGTAAATGGGGTTTTGAGGTATGAGTAGGAGTTTGGAAGATGAGGCAAGGTGTCTTCTTCTTACTGAGACAGAACAGGAGACACTAATAGGTAGAAAGGAGACAAGGAAAATTGTAATTTTGTGAGGCAGGCACCAGAACCACTGAGCTAAATCCCCAGCCCAGAAAATTGTAATTTTGAAAGTTGCATTTTTGTTTTGTTTTTTGGTATCGCGGATTGAACTCAGGACCTTGTGCTTGCGAGGCAGGCAGCGGAACCACTGAGCTACATCCCCAGCCCTGAAAGTTGTATTTTTAAGACTACAACTTCAGAATGCAAAGTTACTGAAGGTTACCCATGTCTCTATTCCCCAGGTTTGTTCACGCTTCTTTTCATCTAGGCTTATTGCCCCCCGTATTCCTTAAAGATACCCTAAATCCATAAGTTAGGTCAAACATCTTGGATCATCCATCTTTAAAAAAAACAATAGACCAAGCCGGTGATTCAGCTCAGTAGTTCTGCTGCCTGCCTCGAAAGTGCAGGGTCCCAAGTTCAATCCCCGGTACCAAAACTCCCCGAAAAACAAAAAACAAAAAAACAGTAGACGTGGCTTTCTCTGTAAACCAGGACATCTCTCCCTGCCTGTACCTGGGCCACCGCTTTTCTCCTGCAAACCAAGCCCACACTTTCTACGGATTCAAATATTCTGCGGATTTCCACTGCCAAAACAGAACTATCCCAAGCTGGCTCTGACATGCCTCTGCCTGGAAGCCGGCTGCCTGAGACTTTGCCTCACGCCTTGCTGAGTGCCTGAGTGTCCTTCTGTACCAAGTCAGTGGGCCTGCACGCTGCCCCTGTGTGTGGGTGAGCCTGGGACCCCAGCCCCACTTTAGGGTCCTCCTGGGACGCCTGTGCAGCACCATTTCCATGCCCAGGCTGGCTTTGAACTCACAGCATCCTCCTGCCTCAGTCTCCCCGAGGGGTGGGATGACAGGTGTGGAACTTTCAAGGTGAGACATGTTTTCTTTTAGAGATAAGGTCTCCAAGCTTCCTCCTGCTGAGCACATAGCAAACCAGCCCCTCTCCTCAGCCCCCAAGAAGGGACAGAATATGCTGGTGCTGGAGCCGGGGAGCCCGGCTTCCTTTCCACAAGAAAAGGGGCGCTGAGCTGAAGCCTCCTGGAGACAGGCACTGCCTCTCCCCGTCCGCCCCCTCTGTCCCCCCATGAAAGACTCCAAGCCTGAGCCCCAGCAGACAGCGATTTGAGGTGACTGGGCCCCTCCATTCCTTCAGAGCAAGCGTTGAATAAGCCCCTGGCCCTTTTTACCCAGATAAATGACCTCCTTTGATCTGGTCAGCAAACGAGCCTGAGGCCAGGAACAGAAGACAAAACCGTGCAGATCTCCAGCCACGCCCACTTCCGGCCCAGGAGGTTCCCGGATCCGCCAGCCCCTGGTCCGCCAGGGTTCAGGACGCCACCTTGGCTGCCCAAGGCCACCGCACCATGTGGGCCCGGGCAGTGGTCGCCTGGGTCGAACGCACTTCCCAGCCTCCTGTAGACCCTGGTTGGTGGGTTGTGGATGAGGAAACTGAGGCTCAGATCACAGGTACACCTTGTCTCAAAACACCAAGAAAGAAAGAAAGGAAGAAAGAAAGAAAGAAAGGAAGGAAGGAAGGAAGGAAGGAAGGAAGGAAGGAAGGAAGGAAGGAAGGAAAGAAAGAGGAGACAAGGAAAATTAAAAAATTTGACTTTTAAGAAAAAGTGCAGTTAAGGACACAAAATTACTCAAGCCCAGTTTAAAATTTTTTCTCTTTCCTCCAGACACAATAAGTCAGGCCATTCCCTTTCCTCTGCAAACTGGCCTTTTCCACATGGGAACTACGCTTACCTCGAGGAGCGGAGCTCTTAGGGGCCACCTTCCCACGGACGGAGGGAACTGGTTTGCCTTCTGTCAGAGCCACGCCGCGGGCGACAGCACTCAGGAGCGCACACACCCTGGGTCCTGCTTCTTTGAGAGGGTTGAGACAGGGTCTCCCTGTGTAGTCCAGGCTGGCCTTGAACTCATGGCGATCCTCCTGCCTCAGCCTCCCAAGCGCTGGGATGACAGGCGTGCGCCAACCCCTTGTACAAAGCCCCTCTTTAGGAAGCCTCCCCGGGCCCGTCTTCCCTCCCTCCCGCCCGCCCAGCTCAGCCCCGAGGCCGAGCCGAGCCGAAGCGCCCGGCAAAGGCATTGTTTGGGTTCCTAGGCCCCGCCCCCTAGCGGTGCCGCGGAAGGACACACCCTGATGCGGAACCAGGTTTCCTTTTTTATTTTGTTAGAAAATAAAGTGTTTATTTAAAGAACATTAAAAGGCCAGGACCTGCGTGGAGTTGGCGTGAGGAGGAGGAGGAGGAGGAGCCATCTCGGCTCAGCCAGGCGGCTCCTCTCCTCGGATCCCGGCCTCGGGAACAGCGGGGACCCGGCGTCGGTCCGTGAGCACCAGGGTTCAGCGCAGAGCTGGGGTGACGCTCAGCAGCTCACGAGGTACATCCCTGAGGGGGCGGCGAGCTAGTGAGGGCACCCCAGTCTTCCTCTGCTAAGTTCCCCGACGCCCCAGCTCAGGGCCTGCCCGGCCTGGTCCGATCCGGCCCTCGGGGTTGGGAGTCTCACCTGTCCCCCACACCGGCCGCCACACTCCTGGGCCTATCCCTCTGTCTTTTTTTGGGTACCGGGGATGGAACTCAGGACTTTCCACTTGGGAGGCAGGCAGCGGAACCACTGAGCTAAATCCCTGGCGCCCCCATCCCTCAGTCTTGACTTTGCCCTGGGGGGATCTCATGGCCCTGTACCCCATCTTGGTCCCCCCCAGCCAAGTTTCTCCCCGCTGCCCTGGCAGAAGCAGGCTGGGGCTCTTTCGGTCTGGGGCTCCCGGCAGGTGGGGTACCTGTGGCAAACCTCCTCTTCACCAGGGACATGCGATAGCCGATGCCCACCAGCTCCACATCAATGCCCGACAGAGTGGCCCCCTCACTCATGAACTGTGCGGCCACGGGGCTGGGGGTGCTGGGCCCCGACAGCGGCTCCCAGCTGGCAGAGAGGCGGCCAGAGCCTAGGGAGGCCGGGGTCAGGTGTGCCGGGTCTGGGGCAAGCACGACCTGCTGCCACCTTCGGGCCTGTGGCTCCCACTGACTCCTCTTGGCCTCCTGCACCTTCTCTTCTGGCCCCACCGAGTGGTGTGAGGTTTCCCAAGCAGTTCTGCCGCAGGGCCTTTGCACCTCCCCGGCCTGTCCCCCATCAGATGCTGTTTCCTCCCAGATTTTTTTTTAATTGAGGCTTGAAATCTGGGTCCTTGCACATGCTCAGCCAGTGCTGTGCACCTGAGTCACATCCCCAGTCCTCTTTTGTTTTTTTATTTTGAAGCAGGGTCTTGCTAAGTTGCCCAAGCTGGGCTTGAACTTGGCATCCTCCCGCCTCAGCCTCTGGATTATGGATCACCACACCGGGCTCCTCCTAGATTTTTCATGCCAACCCTCCCCTTGCAGCATACCCCCAGTTCTTTCCCAGTTTCCACAAGTGCCCTCCCCCCCCACTTACCCCCTGCCTCTGACACATCCGGGAGCTTCCACACGAATCGTTTTTCCTCCAGGCTCCTGGCCGCAGGAGGAGCTTGGTCAGCGAATGCCCAGCTCCACCACCCCAGCTCCCAGCCCAGCCTCAGTTTCCCCATGGGCAAGAGGGGTTGGGGTGGCACGAGCACTACCGGCGCCCTCACCAGGTGGCAGCCGGCTGCAGGCGCACGTTGGTGACGCGCTCGCCCACGGGGAGCAGGATCTGGACGTTGGAGAGCGACGTGGGCACGGCCGTGGCGCCGGCACAGTAGCTGTATTCTACGGCCACCTGCGTGAGCGCCGCCCCACACTGCCAGTGTGCGTGCAGCTGCAGAGGCAGCGCCTGGGGGCCCGGGCGGGAGAACTGGGGGAACGAGGCCAGGGAGAGGGACGTGGCTGGGGCTGCCACGCGCTCTGTGCAGCCACCCGGCCCTCGCCTGCCTCCCCATCCCGCAGTGCAACAACGCTCGCAATGCACAATGCACAATGCACACGCTGTCCCCTGCAGCCCACTGTCGCACAGGGAGAATTCATGGAGTCTCATTACACTTCGTCTCCAGCAGAGGGCAGGAGAGCGCCTCATTCTAAGCCTGGCAGACAAGCGCAAGTTCAAGGTTCTATAATTTGCATATGACGCCCTCTGCATCAATAGATGCTGGGGCCTCTAACATCATCTACCAGTTTACCATTCATGAGCCACCACCCTTGGCTCTCACTGGCTGCCTGCTCTCATTGGCTCTGAATTTCTGATTCCTATCCTCATTGATTGCCTGTTTCTGCCACCTGCTCTCATTGGCTGAGTTTCTGCTGCCTGCATTGGCTGCCTGTCTCTGCGCCTGCTCATAGGCTGGCTGTATCCCCCGCCCCGCCCCGCCCCTCACCCATGACCCACCTGGTATCTCAGCAGCACCACGTTGTAGTAGGAGGCTGCGGGGTTCTGCTCCGCCTGGCGCTGCAGGGCCTCAGTCAGAGCAGCCATGTTGAGCCAGAAGTCTTTGGTCTCTGGGTCACTCTGGGAAGGGTCACTGCGGAGACAGGTACTCATCAGCCCGAACTCAGGACACACCCACGGCTTTCTAAAGGTGACATTTCTCAGGCCACCCTGGGCTCAGCAAAGCCCTCTGTGGGTGAGTGCAGGAAGGCAGGCAAAGCAAGGTTCAGAGAGGGCAAGCAACTTGCCCCAGGCCACACAGCAAACCCCAAGAGGTCCAGCAGGATTTCAAGGCTCCTCCCACTTCCCAACCACCGGACCTGAAGAGCAGGTCAGCATTGGGCTGGACGTGCTGGATGCCAGCCATGTGGATGAGCCGGAAGCTGAGCACTGGCGGGGGTGGGGTCCCGCTGAACACGCGCACGATGCCGGCTGGGAAGGTCATGGTCAGCTCTCCAGTGACCCGAGCCATGCAGCTGGGGGCAGGGAAGACTGGGTGTCAGGTCAGGGCTCTGCCTGGCCCTGCATCCTCCCTTCTCCAGGGTCCACTACAGCACAAGACTTCCCAGGCAAGACCCTGGTCACGCCCAGGACCCTTCCCTGACCTCCTCTTTCCTCTCAGCTTGGACAAGGAGAGTCCACCATGGGCTGAAGGAGGCAGGACTATGCCCTTTCCCACTTCCCTTTTCTCCTGGGCCACCAGGAAGCTCAAAACAGAATGGTTCTGTTTTTTAACTGTCCTTAGCTTGAGTTTGGGGTTTAATATTCTCTTCCTCTTTGTCCTTTGATGTTAAGTGCCTTTCTGCTGGATGTCAACCCAAGCCTCGCATACCTGGGGCTGTGGGCATGGAAGTAGGCGTGGACGTACTCAGTGAAGGCGGTGGCCACGGGCAGCGCATCCTGGGAGCCCAGGACTATAGGACTGGGGCCCCGGGAGACTCCTGGGGGTGGTGGGGAAGGAGGGTTTAGATGCAGACAGCCAGTACAGACTGCAAGCCCTCCTAACAGGCCCTCCATCCTCTCCCTTAGCCACCCACCAGGCCAGAGAAGGGGAAACTGAGGCACGTGGCAGGGTGGCCCCCACATACCGTGTCCAGTCTGAGATGAGAAGTTGGGCCGATCTGGAGCCATGCTGGGGGCTGATGAGCCCAGTGGGGAGGGGCTCAGGGACCGGGACTATAGGGCAGGGGGGAAGCAAGGCTGGCAGCTGTGGCAAAGGGGATGGTACCCCAGCCCAGGCCCGCGATGCCCCAGGTCCTACCAGGTCGCCGTTGCTCCGGGTCAGGGGACATGACACCTTCCTGGAGCGGGGTCTCCGGGCCGGGGCCGCCAGGCCCTCTCTGGCTACAGGATCTGTGGCTGTTGGTTCTGGGGCACAAGTTCAGAAAATGGGCATCGCTGAGATGCTGCCCAGGGCCCCTCGGGGGCAGGAGCTCAGCCTAGAACGGAGAGGCGGGGGGCTTTCGGGACCACCTATGGTTTGAAGTTCTGTAGACCATGTCCACGCCCCTGAATGTCTCAGACATCAAGCTGGAGGCCAGAGAAGGGGTGAGCTCTCCGCCCCTGTGGCATGCAAGCAAGGGCTGGTGGCTTAGGAGGTGGGCATGCTACAAGGGGGGATTTGAGGGGGATTTTTAACCAAGTCAGCTCCGATATCCCTTCCCTGGGAGGGATCTGAAGGCTGCGCCCACAGGAGGCCCCACGCCATGATGCCCCACCCCAGGGCGCTCTCAGACCCACCCTCTGCACTCACCCCCTCGGGCCTCCAGCCCCCAAAGTCCTGGTGATGGTGCCAGGGGCTGTGGCGAGTCGGGCGGTGGTGGGACCCGGGCCGCCCTGGTTTCTGGAGGCTGCGCCGTACAGCCGGGTGGGCTCTGTGGGGTGCCTGGGTGAGGGACCCAGGAGTCTGGCGAGGGGCCCGTAGCTGCATGGGATGGAGAGTCCAAACCAGAGTCCTCCACGTTCTCCGGTGAGGAGGAGGAGAAAGGGGAGGGGCTGGAGGTGAAGCCGAGGCTGCTGGAGCCTAGGAGAGGGGAGGGGCGATCAGTCTGGGCCACACCTACCCTGCAGGCCACACCCACAATCCATCCCTTGCTGGTCACATCCATTCACACTAGTGCCCCGCCCATCCACCCACGGGCCCCACCCACCTAGGCACAGGTCTCTATCCTCTATGGCTCTGCCCACCTGCGCCAGGGCTCCACCCACTCTAAAAGACCTCCAACCTCCATGGCTCCACCCTCAGCCATGGCCCGCCCGCTCCGTCAAAGGGCTCCATGCTCTGTAGCTCTGCTCAAAGGGCCGCGCCAGGGTGGGCTTGGAGTGCACATTGGTTCCCTTCCCTGCCCCCATACGCATGGATCTTTTCATTGGCCCCATCCGCCCTCGCACCTGGCTTATCCTTTGGCCCCGCCCACCCGCAGGCCCCACCCGCCCACAGCGACGCCCCACCGACGCCCCACCGAAGCCCCAGAAGCCCCACGCTCACCCGTAAAGTCCTCGTGGTCCAAGGCTGACTCCAGGGGCGGCCCAAAGAGGCTCTTGGACGCCTGCTCCTCAGAGGACGACAGCTTCTCCGCGCAGCTGCGAGGCCGAGAGGGGTGGGGCGGGCCTGTTCTCCAAGGCCGCCTCTCACCTCAGGGCCGCCGCGCCTGCTGTTCCCTGTCTTGGACTCTGTTCCCGCTGTCCTCTCCGCGGAACTTCCTGCTCCTCCACAGGGCTCAGCCCCAAGCCACCCGCTCAGGGAGACCCCACCATTACCCCAAGGGAAGTCACCTCTGTGTCATGTCGTGTGCTTTAGGTCTTCACAGCCCTCAGCGTGCCCTCTCATTTGCTATTCTTTTTATTTTTGTTGTTTTCTGTTTTTTTGGTACCGGGGCTCGAACTCGGGACCTTCCGCTTGCGAGGCAGGCAGCGGCACCACTGAGCTAAATCCCTGGCCCTTTCTGTTGCTTTTTGAGGCAGGGTCTCACTATGTACCCCATGCCGGCCTTGAACTCACGGCGATCCTCCTGCCTCAGCCTCCGGAGGGCTGGGCTCACAGGCATCATGGGCTGTTCTCACAGTGTGGCTCGGTCCTACATTCATCCCCCAAACCCAGCACGGCACAAGTACACAGCAGGTGCTCAAGAGGTGCCTGTCGCACTGGGAGACGGGGTGGAGCCCACGACTGGCTCCTGCGTGCCCTGCGGAACCCACCTGCTTGCCCGCGGTGCGGACCGAGGCCTCTGCGGCTTCCCAGCAGTGTCGCCTGCGCCTGCAGGGGACGCGGCCGTGAGCCTCCGCCTGCGTCACGGATCCGCGCCCCCTTCCGGCTCTCGAGCTTCGCGGGGAAGGAGGAGCTCAGCGCGCAGCCGCCCAGACCCAGCGGCTGGGATGTGGGATCGGAACCCACCCACACCCGGGCCCACCGGCTCGGCCTCGGCCGAGGCTACTCACGCGAGGAGTGGCGCTTCATGGTGCCCTGTGGAGAGAGGGCGGCTGCAGCAGGGGTGGCCGCCAGCCCCGCCCCCTCCACGCCCCTCCCGCTCCTCACCCCTGCGCCCGGGGGCAGGGCGAGGCTGCCGGCCGTGGCCCTGAGCTGCGCCGCCACCGCCTCGGAGCTGCAGGCCGGAGCGCGGGCCGGGGCGGGCTTGATGTGCACGTAGAACTTTCTAGGCTCGTCGTCATCGAAGTCCGAGTCGCTGGATGAAAAGCGGGAGGGCTCGGCCGTGCGTGGGCCTCTGTCAAGGAGCCAAGCGGACCCCAACATGGGGTCCCCTCCGTCGGCCCCCACATCCGACCACGAACCTGCCTGCCCAGACCCTTCGAGGTCTCCTACAGCGCCATCATTCAGCAGTTGCCAAGCTACTTGGCAAACTCTTATTCAGCCGCTAAGAACCCCAACACTGGTGCCCCTCCATCCAGGAAGCCCTCCGGACTCTCCCTCCGGGGCGGTCCAATCCCCAGTCTCCCCCGCCCCGTCCCTGAGCCCACAGGGTGGGTGTTCGCAAGGGTAGACTGGCGTCGAGGACCGTGCTTTGTCCCTGTGATGCCAGCAGTTGCCTCTAGAGGGCGCGAGAAGGATATTGTTCTGGGTCACGTCGGGCCGGATGGTGAAACCTTCCTCATCCACCTCTGGACACATCTGCAGGGAAGAAAAGGTGAACGAGGTCCCAAAAACGAACCCTTCCACGCACGCACACGTGTGTGCAGGGCCTGACTCAGACTCCACGCTGACTGCTCCCCCCACGTGGGGCAGGTTCTCGGGGCAAACTGAGGCGCCGCAGGGATCTCCGTCCCTCCCGTGGGATGGCATTAGAGTGTGGCCGAGGGGGGATTTGAACTCAGACCCCAGCTCTGCTACCTCCATTCTGCCCCTCGGGCGCAGCGCTTGGATGCCTCCTGGCTCTGACTTTGGAGGCCTAGGGTGGGGCCCCTCGGCTCCCAGCCCCAGCCCAGCAGGCCCTGCCCAGCACTTACCCCTGAATCAGGCTCCAGGAAGTCTCTGGGGATGGAGGAAGAGACCTTAGCGTCAGCTCCGCCATCACATCGGGCCCCCCCCTGCTCCAGACCGGATGTGGAACTGGGGGGGCTACTGTTTGTACTGTCCTAGCCCTTGGGGGGGCACGGGGCTTGTGGGAGGAGGGAAAGGAATGGGAGTGGCCTGGGGCCGGCTTTGGCAAAGAGCCCTTTGATCCTCGGCTGAATCTGGCCTGGGCCTAGCCCCTCGCAAGGGAGGAGTCTGGGCTGGTGGGCCATGGGGGTACTGGGCCAGCCTGGGACAGCCGCAGCCCTGGTCTGGTGTGTGCGGGAAATCCTGGGCTAGCAGGGCCGGGCTGGAGGCCGGTTCCTTACACAGCCACACGAGGTTCCCGCTCCCGCCGGCTTAGTCCAGGCAGGCGAAAGGCCTTTGCTCCCCGAAGTCGCTTCATTGCTGAGGACAGATGGGGGCAGCTGAGCCCCGCGCTGGCCCTCACCTCTCCTGCCCGCTTCCTTCGCCCCTGCGGTACAGCCTGGGTGCCCAGGCCCAGACATACTTGCCTTCCTGCAGTGTGGCCGCACTGTACGAGTCGAAGTCCAAGGGCCCTGAGCAGAGGGTGGAGGGTGTGAGGCGGGGCAGACTGCAGGGGCTAGGGCAGCACCCTGGCCACAAGCATGGGGCGGACTGTGCTCGGCAGGGGCAACTGCTAGCCTCTCGGGGCTCCCAGGGCTCGGCTCAGGGTCACTCAGCCGCCAGGCAAAACCTGGCCATGGTTGGGGTGCCGGGCAGCGCCACTTGTCCTTCAGACACTGCAGCTTTCTGCCTGCAGCCGGGCTGGGGCAGGGGAGGAGCCCTGCGCCATCTCCTTGGCCTGCATCAAATCACTAAATGTTATTATCATCCTCTCTTTAGGACTGAGGCTCAGAGAAAAACACCGCAGGTCACACAGAGAGCCATGAAGAAAGGGCACAAATCCAGATCTAACTCCAAAAGGTTTGCTGTCGATTCCTTTCAGCTCCTGCATCGCAACATCTTCAAACTGTTCTTTGGATCAACAACCCTCAGTGGCTCCCGTGGGCCCTGGTGCTGCAGGGGGACAGGGGAGTCTGGGTCCCAGTCACCCTCTGGGGCCTGGCTCTAACTCAGAGATTCCCGGCGGGATCAGCCATGCAACCCTTTCCCCATGTAGGCTGGCAAGTTGGCCCTGTCATCAGCCCATGTTTTTCTTTTTGTTTTTTCTTTTTCTGGTGCTGGGAATGGAACTCAGGGCCTCACATACACTTGTGAGCACCCACCACTAAGCTGCACTCCAGCCCACTTTTCTGATGAAGCAACTGGGCCTGGGCAGGCCCACTGCCTGGCTCACCTGGCTTCTCCTGGCCTGTGCCTTTGCTCTCGGCGAACTTCCTGAGCAGCATGTCCACACTGACGTTCTCAATGTTCTGTTTGAACTCCTCATGCACCTGGGGTGGGTTGGGGGGTCACCTAAGGTCCGGGGCCCAGCCTCTAGCCTCATGCCGCCCCCTAGCTGGCCTCACCTGCCCGATCTGCACGTGCGTGTCCTCCACTGAGTGGGCATAGGAGCCCAGCAGTGCCTTCATGTGCCGCAGGTGGGTCTCCTCCATGGTTTGGAAGCACTGTGGGGGAGGGGTAGTGCAAGGACAAGGCTAGGGAGGAGGGTCATGGGACCCAGCCCGGCCAATCAGAACATCCCAAGTCCCTAGATGTAGTGATTGACTTGGGGGACAGCCAATGAGATTCTGCTCTAGGACTTTTGGTGGAATTATGGGAAAAGAGACACTGATTCCTGAGGCTGGAGGTTGTTGGGATGGAAATGCAGGCTGCTGATGACCACTCCCCCCCGCCGATGTGAGTACAAACAATCTGATGTCAAGCAGGAGTGAAGTCCCCAGGGAGGAAAACATTAGACAAGCAGAGAAAGACACAACTCCCCCCACACACACCATTTGAGCACCTGGATCCAACCATGCCTGAAACTTCCCTGGCCCCTAAATAACTTTTCAGCTCACCGAGCCTATAAATCTGTCCGCTTAAATAAAGGTTTCTATCACCTGCAATTTAAAAAAATCCGATTCTTGATCCTGAGATTCTGATCTGCATTTTGCACACGTGGATGGACAGACCCTCAAAGATGCAGCCAACGATCACATCGCTGGTGAGGCATGGAGGCTGGATGGGAACTCAGGCCTCTCAGTGGCCAAGGAAATCAGGAGAGAGACCCTGGGCTTCGCAGCTCTGCCTGCCTTGTTCAAAATTCTCAACAACAGAAGAAATACGGTAGCACGTGGAGTGGTTTCCCTGCCCCTGGCACTAAGCCTGAGAACTTCACACAGAGCGACTCCTTTAATTTCCACAACTCTGGGTAGTCTCACTGTCTCCGTTCTACGCCGGGGGAAACTGAGGCACACCACGAATTGGTTTCTGACATCATGTCAACAGCAGCCGCCGCAGCAGGCTTGCAGCCGTGGTCTGCGGGCTGGCGCTGGGCGCTCGAGGCTCTGGACTTTGGGGGCTCGCAGCATCCGGGGCCGGGCCGTGTCGGTCCCGGGTCACCTGCGCCCGGTGCTCACCAGCGCGGAGTCCAGCATCTTCTGCTCGAAGTCGGCCCGGGCCGAGTTGTACTTCCCCACGGAGCGCCGCAGGCTCTCGGCCGCCTTCTTGGCTTTGGTTTCCGCCTAGGAGGCACAGGGAGGGGACAGGTCACGGAGCCGGCCCTGGTCACCAGCTGCGGACGCCTGGGTGGCCTTGCTGTGTGAAGCCCACGCCGTCAGCAGCGCCCCGCCCCGGCCAGGCGCCGACCTTGTCCACCTCCTTCTGGCTGGTGTTCTCTCTGCGCAGGCGCTCCAGGTCCACGCAGCGGCTCAGGTAGTTCTCGCGGGACTTGGGCAGCAGCTGGGTGACGCCGGCGAGCAGCTGGACCTCGTCCAGGGTGCCCCCCACTTCGTCCTTACACTGCAGGCAGAGAGGGCTGGTGGGGGCCACGTGCGCGCGGCCAGGGTGGCCTTCCGGGTGTCCCAGGCGCTCTGTGCCTTCCAGGGCCACGGCTATTTTCTGAGCATTTTATTAATTTTTAAGTATTTGGGCCGGGAATTTAGCTCAGTGGCGCTGCGCCTGCCTGGCAAGCACAAAGTCCTGAGTTCCATTCCCAGTTCCAGAAAAAAAAAATTAAAAAAAAAAAGTGTGTAGGGGGCTGGGGATGCAGCTCAGAGGCAGAGCGCTTGCTGAGCAGGTGCGAGGCCTTGGGCTCGGTATATAAAATTTCACACGGGCTAAAGAAATGCAGATGCAGCTGGGTGTGATGGCGCACACCTGTGATGCTTGCACTCATGAGGCTGAGGCAGGAGGTTGCCAGTTGGACGCCAGCCTGGGCATAGGGAGAGCTTGTAAAAAAAAAATAAGGAAAAGAGAAAGAAAAACCAGGTAGTGGCACAGGCCTGTAATCCTAGTACTTAGAAAGGGTGAGGGCCGGGGATGTAACTCAGTGGTTTCAGCGCCTGCTGCGCAAGCGCAAGGACCTGAGTTCGATCCCCGGTACCAAAAAAAAAAAAAAGAAAGGGTGAGACGTGAGGATCCCAAATTGGAGTACACCCTGGGCAACTTAGCAAAATTATGTCTTAAAATATAAAGGGCTGGGGATGTAGTTCAGTGGTAGAGAACCCCTGGGTTCAATCTCCAGTACTGAAGAAAAAGAATATCCTAGAACCCTGTGCCGATGCTCTTTGTCTGGCCATAGGGCTATGTTCCAGGACATCCATCATAAGTTGAAGATACCACAAATGGAAAACTCACTGATCCCCCAACCTAAATACAGGATGGGACCACCCATTGCCAATTCACGATTCCGTCTCCAGTTTCTGCTAAATGCAGAAGGCTTTTGCAGCATTGTAAAACCAAAAAGTCCTAAGTCCAAGCACCATCAATGGGGAAATGCAAATCTCTGAGGCTCCAATTATTAAGGTTCAAATGTGTGGGATCCTGAGCCCAAGGCTCCAAAGATCTGAGATTCTAGGTTTGTGAGCATCTAGAAATGTGGAACCCTGAGATCAGTGCTCACAGATGGGGGCTGGCGACTGCTTTCTGTAGAAAGAGACAGAGTAAACGTGTTCGGCTCGTCATGGATACTGCACTCTGCGCTGTGGCTCGGAAACACTGCAGGTACCCGGCACGGGCGTGAACACGGTTGTGTGCCAATAAAACTTTATTAACCCCCACTGAGGCCTGAGCACTGTGTACACAGTTCTCACGTCACCAAATAGCAATCTTCTTTTGATTTTTTGCTAACCCTTAAGAAATGTAAAAACCAATAAAACAAAAAATAAAAGTGTAAAAGCCAGTCTTCGCTGTACAAAAACAGGCGGAGGGCTGGATTTGGCGCCAGACCAACTGGCTAACTCCTCCTCTAGAATGTTCCCGCTTTTTGCCCACGGAGGCCGTCTTCGCACATGCGTTACCAGTGAGCCGCACCCCGGTCCCTCCCGTGTGGAATTCTGGGCCTGAACCGCCTTGGGGCTCAGATCTGGAAGATGCTGGGTCGGGTGTTCTGCGCATGAGCAGGATTCTGAGCGGCTCCACCAGGGGGCAGCCCCTCAAACACGCACCTTCTTGTGGGTCTTGAGCTGCTCCTCCCCATAGCGGAGCACGTCCTTGATGAGGTCCTGCAGCTTCCGCGTCAGCTCCAGGTGGCACAGGGCCAGCTTGTCAGAGGATACGCGGAAGACCTCCCAGAGCGGGGCGAAGGTCCTGGGGAAAGGCGGGTCACACGCAGGCCCGCAGGCCCCTCGCCGCCACAGGCACTGTCCTCTGTGCCCTTCACCGGCTCCTCCCCATCTTATTTCTTTGCGGTGCTGGGATGGAGCCCAGCCCTCCTGCGCGCCAGGCAAGCCCTCACCGCTGAGCTGCGTCCCTGCCCTGGTTCCTCAGCTTCCTTCCTGCCTTCTCTCCCTGCTGCCTCTGAATTTGTTTCTTTGGTACTGGGGATTGAACTCAGGTCCTTGCACTTGCAAGGCAGGCGCGGTGCCACTGAGCTGAATCCCAGGCCCTCTCCCTGCTGTCTGGGCTCCGAGCCCCTTCACAGAAATCTGCCTCACAGCAGCCACAGGGAACCTGGCCCATGCCAAGGAGACCCCGTTACCATTTGTCCCCCCGCCCGGCTATGCCAGCCTCTTCGCTCTGCCTGGGATTTGCCTAGGGCATCGCTGCCTCAGGGCCCTTGCACTGGCCCAGCTGCTGCCTGGGTCTCTGATCACCTCTGAGTTTAATAGCTGTCTCATGAAGGGCCCGTGGGTCTCCTTGGCATCTGGCACTCAGAAAGGGCCCGGTAAATATTTTTGGGAAGAATGAACGAACGAGCTAGTGAGTGAATGATGCACATTCCTCTACCTGATTAGCCCCGGGAGGGGGGCAGGCCACACTTCCATCTCCATGTCACGTGAGTGAAGAAGAGCTGTCACCCCAGGACAGTCTCCCCATCCCCAGGTCCCAGCTGCCTTGGAGACGCCGCCTCACTCACCCCATGGGGGTCCCGTTGCTGGCCAGCTTGGAAAGTTTCGCCATCGCCTTTGAGTAGGTCTCCTCGATGGTGGCCCTGGGTGAGAGGATGGAGGAAGATGGGCCCCGGGCACCCTTGGGAAAGCACCTTCCCACCGCAGGGCTCAGTTCCCATCTCGAATACCTAAGCAGGATAAGGAGAGTGATGCGGAAATTCATGGGCGAGTTTTTTCCTTATGTATTTCATTTTTCTAAAACCAGTGGTATTTGTAGCAGCAGCAGCAGCAGGCAAAGAAGTTTTTTGAGCACTTATTATAATGCAGGCACTGTGTTAAATCCTTTATGTGGTTTATCTCATTTAATTACAGAGAAAAACTGTTAAATGCCTAGCTAATTTCAGTTTTCTTAGGGGCAGGAATGCGCCCGGTTAGAAGGAATGCCCGC